GTTGAAATGGATGTGAAATCTCACACATTTCAAGATATCACAGTTCAAGTTTATGTTGTGATGAATCTCAGTTAGCTCTGTATCTGCAAGAACGGACTGAGTTGTAGCCATTTTTGTGTAGACCAATGGCCACTAGCTGTGGGAGCCATCTTGAATTGAATTGCCTCCAAAAGTTAAAGAGTTGTAGATGCACATCCAGTGATCACTTTCTGACATTTTCATTAAAATCCACCCAGTGCTTCATGAGACACTTTGATATCAGACGAAAACAGTTTATTTAAACTGTAGGGCTGGAGTCTTGAGCAAATGTATTACACAATAAGTAGTAGTTTATGTTGTAAATGACTCTCGGCTACAACCACACCAAAATTTAGCTCAAAATCTGTAAAACTGACTGAATTTGAGCTAATTGTGTGGTTTTAAAGTTCACTTGGCTGTGGTGGCCATCTTGAATTGAGTTGTTTTCAAAATGTAATTATTTATAGACTTATATCTAATGACTACTGTCTGCGATTTTCATTCAAATTTGTCTAGTGGTTCTTGAAATATTTTACTAACAGACAGGCAAGGTTCTTTCACCTGCTTTTTTTTTTTTTTTTGTCTTTTGGGGCATAAGAGTAAAAAGCTGAAGATCATGACTCTCCACACTAGATGGCAGTAGATGGTCAAGCCAGTGTGATTTTAATCAATTAACAAACCTGGACTACCTACTTGAGCCTGCAGAGTGATCACATCTCACCAGCCTGTTGTCCACTTCACTGCATGATCTGAAACTAACACCAGTGTCCAGAAAACAGCAGCAGCACTACTGTTGGACTGCTTGATTGTCTTTTTCCAGGAAAAAAGGCTATTCATGCATGAAAAGCAGTAAATGTTCCTGCAGGGACGGTCTTTTTCACACGCCTCCCATGAGAGACGTTCCTCAGCCGATAGAAAATTGTTGCACTTCATCACATATCGGTGGAAAACGTCTCATGAGTTATGAGACGCAGTTATCTGGCATCGTAGCTGCACCCGAACGAGTTTTATTTTAGGTTCAATTATCAGACCTACAGGGAAACAACACCTAACTTTAAAACTAAAAACAAACAAACACAAATCTTACTTATATCTACTGAACCAGCATAATATGAGGTTAAAACATTAAAGATGATGTCATAAGAGGTTCCAGGTGAAACCCACAGCTCTTCATCTGATGACACACCTGCTGACTTGATTTAACAAGATCCCAACTGGGGAGTCTGGTGTCAAAGGATTGTTGGTCCTTTTTCTAAAAAATAAATCCTGTTCTGTCAACATCTGTGCTCTCCAAGACAAACTGTTCGGCTGCACTTGACTGAAGCCTTGCTGGCACCTCAGGCGCTCCGAAGTGGAAAAAGTTGAGCTAAACAGAATTCTGATGCATACTTTAAGAGTTGGACACACAAGAGCATTGAAGGACGAGACGTGAAGTGGGTCCAATGTTAATAAGACATCAGAGAACTGTGTGCCACGCTCCATAGAAGACAGGCTGAAGAAACACAAATCTATTAAACCGAATGCTTCAAGTCTGGTTTTACATCAACTCCAGAGGCCAATAAATTACAATACGGCCTGAAACTGAACACTTAAGTAATGCTTAACTAAACAATGATGTAATTCATGAATAAGTGTGGGGTGTGTTGGCACGTCCTGCTGCTTCCTCTACTAAACACATCATCATGCTCAATAAAAGTGATGAGTTGACACTCACTAGATCATTGATTAGGAATGTTCAATCATTGTTGCTTCACACATGAGATCTGTGTGAACATATGGAACAATGTGTGTTGCTCAGATTATGTGTTGGAGATTATGTTCAGCTACTACCACACGAGCGTTGAGCTCAATATTTGTACAAATGACTGAAATATATGCGTTTTATTCCACGTACACAGGCAACACAACTACTGCCACTTTACCTTATGAAGAATAACTAAACTGCTGTGACTGAAATTAACTGATATGGTAACTGTAAAATTACATTTTGACTTTATGTGTCTCATAAAAATCATAGGCTTAGTGAAAATGATTGATCCTGACGTCCTCGTTAATCATGCCGGACCAGATATGTGTGATTTCTATGCTTCTAATAAGATTTAATATAAGTTCAGAAGCAAAATGTGTTACATATTTTCTGTTTGTACATGTATCCATTTAAGACTCATTTTCACTTCTCGGTGTTCACATGTGCAAAAATCAAACAAGTAGCAGCTACCTCTCATTTCTTACTTCTCTGTTCTTCCCTTGACTAATGCTTAGAAAAGATTCACACCTAATCAGCTCGACTTCACAGGAGATAATTGTTTCTACTTTTGAATTATTATGACTTCTGATACTTTGACAGTCAGACAGCCCATCAGAGAAAAGCATGCTCGCGATTTGTTTTTTAAAATGTCTCCCGTTCTGCTCTCGGTTTATGTTTAAGTTCCTGAACTCGGTGAGTTCTTCTCACAACAGCTGATGATTTCCGCTGACAGATGGAGAAGGACCTGCAGAAGGCGGTGGTGTCTGTGGGCGGAGGACAACCAGAAATAACTCTGGAGAAACAAGTTGTTTAGCACCTTCAGCCAGTATCAAATGTGGTTTTACACATCTGAACACTGGGGAACAGCGATTCCAAGTGTGGGGGTCGAAGCCCTTCAGGGGCCCCCAAACTAAAACACACGAGAGCGGAGACGAATCAAAACTTCAGATTGTTGTTCACAAAATCGTTTTTATTTGGTCCTGAGTTTCTTGTTTTATTCTGTTAAATAAAACACAAGTTACACAGTTTTAACCTTAACTATTTATATCTGTTTCAAACGTGGGGAAAAAAAAATCCCATTTTTAGACAAATACCTGCGATGTGGGAGCAAAAACACCCACATTCTTTATTTTATAAAACATTTAAAAAGTTTAGGAGCCACTGTGGTTTAGAACTGTCATTTCTAACCCAGAGCCCGGCCCGACCCAGATCATTTCCAGGCCGAGCCAGAATAATATGCTTAATGTGCGGGCCAGGCTGGTTTCGGGCTTTTTAATGCGTCACCAGACGCGCACGGCTGGCGATCCAATTATATGGCAGCATGGCTTGCCATATTTTTACCTGCCGCACGCAGCCATTTGCCCGCACGTTGATGGGCCTTGAAAGAGGTAAAAGGAATAAAAGTTCAGTTAAAGTAAATAAAGACATTCAAACAAATGAGACATCTTTGTTCTTCCCTTTAGAAGGTGGTGGTGTAATTTAAAAAAGATTCAGCTGCACTCAGCTGACGTGCACAGCCGACGACTCAAACTGGTGAGATCCCAAAATATCCGACATATCAGAGCAGGGTCCGTGTCTGAATAATGCAGAATACAGGCAGAAGCAGGGATTTAATGCTTTGATGGCCGTGAAAAGACAAACACCCCCTCTGCTCCGATCTTCTGCCCCCTCAGCCACATGCATCCACCAACCGTTAATAAAGCTTAATTAAAAATGTTGGGAGTTTTTTGGGTTCGGACCTGTAATGCTGTTAATTCATTGGGTCGGGTGGCGTTTGGAAATGATGGCTACGGGCTGGGGCCATTTCGGGTCTGATTTTTTTTTTAGACCAAATGCAACTCTACTAATGAAAATACATCTATTACTACCATTAGTATTACTCACCACTGAAAGTTGAGTGAAAAGTTGTTTACTTGTATCAGTGTGTGCTTATTTGTTTGTGTTAGTAAAACATCTCCTAAACTTTTGATTTTCTTTAATGAAACTTTTATAAATAATAACTCTTGGAGTCCGTCCAATTCAAAACGGCAGCTCATCTAGTTTAGCCAACACCAAAATGGCTATAACTCAGCCAAAAGTGGACGATTAATCAGGAAAGTGTTTCTTGACTTGTACTGATGGCAGGTGCATGAAAGGACCAGAGGATTCGAGGATGGAGGAGCAGACTAAGGTGACCAGGTAAGTGGTGCAGGACAGACTTCAATGATGAATGGTGAGCTGTTTAGATGTGAGTTTATTTATCATAGGTTGTAGATGGTTGTTCCAGAGGATGAGCACAGGAGGACACACTCGATGAGAAGTCACTAGGAGGATCCAGGAGCGAGGGGCTGAGGATCGAGAGCAAATTGGGACAATGTTCCAGCGGAGTCCAGTTGGTCCATGCCGCCTTAACTACAGAGGATCCTCTTCAACAGAATTGGAAACAGATGAAGATGATTGGCTCCGCCCTGCCACTCTGGAGCTGCAAGAGGTGTCAGTGGAACAAACCCAGAATCTAAACGACTCCAACTTCCTCATGTTGAAAACTCTGGAATGTAAAAGGAAGCAGGTGCTTTACATTGTCTTAACCCTCCTGCTGCCAAACTGACCCAAGACACCTCATTCTTAAGATGAGGCCTCTTGGGTCAGTTTGACCCTAGGGCAGCAGGAGGGTTAATGCTAGACCTTGAAATAAAAGTCTATCATTTCAATCAAATGAGGAGTTTAATGGATTTATTTGATTTATTATAGTTGAATGAAATTATATAATTTATAAAATCTAGGATTACATTTTTTATTCTCTTTAGCTTTATTTTTGATATTTATAGTTTTATTTGAAAATGAGCTATTTTCCCCCAAAATTATTAATAATAATAATAATAATAATAATAATAATAATAATAATAATAATAATAATAATGAAGAAGAAGAAAGGAAAAAGAAGAAAATACCATTATATTTAATAACTATAACACAATGACTGTAAATAAAAATAATATAAATAAAAAAGTAAAGTATATTTCCTGCAGTGTGTCAGATCAATATAAAATTTAATCTCTTACCAACACTTATTAGTTATTCTGTGGTATTGCACAGAAATGTGATGTAATAAAAATAGTTTGGATTATAGTTGTGTTAGCCCCACATCAGACATTCAATTCATTGTGTGTGATAATAATATGTATTTGTGGACGGACAGTCTTTGTAAACAACGTCCGTTTGTCCG